AATTCCAATTAAATTCAATGCCCAAGTGAAGTTGCTTACCATTGCCAGAATCATAATTTTAATTATTGTTGCTTGAGTGGTTGTCCCCCCTAGGCACCATGTTAGGCTCCTTACGTACATTATGTTTAATTTTTAAAATGACCCTTCAAAGCAGGTTATTATGACATTTTGACCTAGAGTACCCCAGCACTGTTATTGCTAAGAAGTGTTTGACTGCAAACCCCATGCTCTTTCTGTTACGCAATTATAGATCATTATTACTGAAGATCGTTGTGGAATTTCTGGCCAATGAAATAAGACATGAAAAAGAAATTAAACATTTAACTATTTGAAAAATGAGAAAATAGTATCATTATTTATCATGCATAGGATTTGTAAACTTAGAAAATTCAGAATAATTAATGAAAAATTATTAGAACAAATAAAAGAAATTGGTGAAATGTCAGGACACATGATAATGGCCGTAGAAACTCTTCAACCAGGCATGTAAATTTTGAAAGGATAATACACAGAACAGCAAGGGAGGGGAGGGCAAAGACCTACCTAACCTGCTGGTCAAATCACTTGACATCACTGATGACAAAGTTGTTGCAGCACAATTATCTTCATTGCTACTAACCAGTCAGAAAGTAATCTGGGAAAGTAGCAATGATCATAACTCACGACACAATACCACATCATCATAACAACTTGCAGCACCTCCAAATAAGCTGAATGAGAAATTTTGGGAACTTATGTGATGAAAATGAAAAACTTTATTGAGCTAAAAAGAAGTTTTGGGGGCCAGCCTGGTGGCATAGCAGTTAAGTTTGCATACTCTGCTTCAGTGGCCCTGAGTTCGCGAGTTCAGATCCTGGGTGTGGACTGACGCACCACTTGTGGAGCCGTGCTGTGGCAGCGTCCCATATAAAGTAGAGGAAGATGGGAATGGATGTTAGCCCAGGGCCAGTCTTCCTCAGCAAAAAGAGGAGGATTGGCATCAGATGTTAGCTCAGGGCTAATCTTCCTCACAAAAAATGAATAAAAATAAAAAAATAAAAAGGAAGTTTTGAGTAAATCATAGGCATATGTCAATTTTTGGGTGAAAATTCTAAATATTTCAAAAATGTCACTTTTCCCCAAAATTAATTTATAGGTTCAAGATAATAGAGTTAATTCCCAAGAGAGGTTAAATTTTATATCTTAATCAAATTATTCTAAAATTTGAATGGAAGAATAAGCCAGAAAGAAGAACAAAGATGATTCTGAAAGCTAGGAGTAGTGAGAGAAACTTTTATCACTAAATATGTTGCCATGGGGCAGCACAGAACAAGTATAGATAACTAGATAATTGATGAAGAAATAGATATTCTAGAAACAGACACTTTTTTTTTTTTTTGTGAGGAGAACCAGCCCTGAGCTAACATCCAATGCCAATCCTACTCTTTTTTGCTGAGGAAGACTGGCCCTGGGCTAACATCCGTGCCCATCTTCCTCCACTTTATAATGGACGCCGCCACAGCATGGCTTAACAAGCAGTGCGTCGGTGCGCGCCTGGGATACGAACCGGAAAACCCCGGGCCGCCGCAGCAGAGCATGGGCACCTAACCACTTGCGCCACCGGGCCAGCCCCCAGACACCTTTTTATGTAGAAATAAAAGATAGGAGGGAGCGGCCATCAAAGAAAACTTTATGGAGAAAAGGAAGGACTCCTGAATGAGTGAAGTTGAGGCCATTGATCTTTTCTTCTGCTATGGACTGCATTATGTCTCCCCAAATTCATATGTTGAAGCCCTAACCCCCAATGTGACTGTATTTGGAGATAAACCTTTAAAGAGGTAATTAAGGTTAAATGAGGTTTTAGAGTAGTGCCCTAGGCTTGATGGCCTTATAAGAAGAGGAAATGTGAGGACACAGAGAGAAGATGGCTGTCTACAAGCCAGGAAGAGGATTCTCGCCAGGATCTGAATTGGCTGGCACCTTGATCTTGGATTTCCCAGCCCCAATACTGTGAGAAAATAAATTTCTGTTGTTTAAGCCACCTAGTCTATGGTATTTTGTTATGGCAGCCTGAGCTGACCAATACATCATCTTAAAACTCGACCCCGTAAGGCTTTCTCTAGTATTAAAAATTCTTTCAACTTGAAAAGCAAGCAACAGATTTGAAAAATATTGTATTTTCAGAAAATGTGACAAAGCTCTCCTATCTTTGTTATAAAAAGAAATGGGTCAAATAGATAAGAAAGAAACTCTGAATCTCAGTAGAGAAATGGGCACAAGATGTACAAATGCAGTTTACAAAAGAAGAAATAGGGCTGGAATGAGTCAGGCATCTTCAGGGATGCTTCCTGCTGCCGTCGCAGATGGTGAACTGCCGTCTTTCTGTTATTGCTTGTGTGGCCCCCATTGTTGGGGAGGCATATGAGCCTCTCATTTTCAAATTGTGTTGATGCTTTTGCATATAAGTCTGGCTTGCTCTCCTCCCCTTATCCCATAGTGCACTGGCTTTCTGATACATGCACATCACATGTGAAGACTGTAGCTCTCTCAGTATATCCGCCACATCACCTTTATGAAGTGTACAGTTTCTCCATAGTAGAAACTGCTTGTGTCCACCTGTCATCTCACACCAAGCTTGGAGGGCACCAGGATATACTCAGTGGGGTCTGGTGGAGGCAGGCTGGTTGTAGGCCTGCCCTCACAAAGCGGGCCCTTTTGCTGGGCAGATGAAACTTAACCATAGGAAACAGCCAGAGGAGCAGCGTAAGATGCTGACGAGACAACAAGACTGGGCCTGCCCCGGCCTGGCCCCTGGTCAACTCTTGGCACCTGTGCAAGTCACTTAAGCCCTTTTTCCTTGCTTCCCTCGTCCGTCTTGGAGGAAAGGACTATACTTGAAGTATTCCTCAACCCTTGCCCCACAGCCAAGGTTTTGTTGAACTTTACTTTCTGTAACTTGTATTACAAAAACAATTGATATTTTTGTTTTCCCAAAATAAAATTGGACGAGTATGGTTTTTTCCTGACTATACATTGCCTTCCATTTGTCACTCTCCTTCCTCTGCTGTCCCACTCCGAGCAGGGGGTAATTGGGACGGGGAAGGGGTGGACCTTTCTAGGTTTGCACACGGTGGCTGAGGTCTCTTCCAGCCTGACATTTCCTCATCTCAAAGGTGGGGGTGAAGTAGTTGGCTTTAAAATACTTAAACTAGTGTCACATGAAACATCAGCTGTGCAGATAATAAATTTTAAAACTTCCCACAATTAGAGCCCTTTATGATATGCCAGGTTGGTCAAAGTTAGACAAACTTCCTCAGTTTGTTTTAGTGGACATTGGAATCTCCAAGGAGGGGGATAAGTGTGTGGTTTTTCCCTAACTTGTTGGACCACGGAACACTTTTTCTTGCAGAATCTTAAGGACTTGATATTCTGTGGGGCACATTTGGGAGGTAGTGACTTCTGTTGCCACCCGTGTTTGTGCTACCAGTGATTTACCCCTTAATTTTGGGACTTAACATGCCTTAACCTTTATTTCAGAAAAAATACAGATTTCTTATCAGACGCGGGCAGGTGATAAGGTTATGAGGTCATCACTGTTAATACTATTTAGCCATCACAAATCCAGCACAGTAATTGTCTAAAGGGGAGAGGATTACTTTAAGAAAGGGATTTTTTCCCACTACTTTTTAATGTGTACCTTGCTTAAAAAAAAACTGTAATAGCTCTCAAATTTTTGTGAAGATAGTGGAGTAGCTAAATTAAGATTTTGTTTATTAGTATTGTAAAGTTCTTCTTCAGAAATTTGAGTGGAATAGTTCGAGTTGAGCTTAGAATGTGTTTATTAAACACAGTGTCTTTGAACGTAACCGTGGGTCAGCTGTCAAATGCCTCCCAGGTTTCTGGAAGGAGGCAGAGAGCAGAAACCTACACCGTCTGAGCACCACCGACATCCCTGGGCATTTGTTCCCAGATTCCCGTATTTATCCCAAACTGTCACTTTGAAATATGTCTTTGTAGACTGTTGCTTCCCTTCTGCCCCAGATAAGAGCTGAGCTGAGAAAGGCAAGCACTGTGGAGTCATTCTCAAGAACAATAAACAGACTCAGTGAGGCCACTTGAATATTGATCTTGCCTTTTAATGATCTGAGGAAAGGGTACCTGAGTTCAGGAGCCCTCCATAAAGTGGGAAGGAGAAACTTGTCAACTGTGTAGTTTCTCTGAAGTTAGGGATGCTTAATATTGCCTTAACAAGCTTCCCAAAGTATCTAGCTTATAAGAAATAATATGTATGATAACGATGCCCAGGAAAGGCCCTCTCATCTAGTAACAGACCTTCCTGTTCTTTAAATCCGTACTTATTCCTGGAAACGCCTGGCTGTGGAGGGTCAGGGTACCTCAGACTGGTGCTGTCACTGGCTCACTGTGCAGCCGGAGTTGATGCTTTTAAGGCCCTGGACTTCACTGTTCTCATCATGAATGGAGGGGCCATGCAGGGCTCTATATTCAGGGCTCTGAGTCCAATTTTAGGGTGGGGAATAGCCTTTCTGCTTAAACACAAATGCCCAGGGTGAGAGCAGAACATTGGCAGCCCCTGCCACAGGGGGTCGACTCTCTTGACTCTCGGTGGGTTTTGTCCGTGTGGGCTACCAGTATTGGGTACCAGCAGTGGTTCTTTCTGTCAGGCTTTGGCCATGTGCCTAGGTTCCTGGGCATCGTACCTGCTTCCAGGTGACCAGGAGACAGGAGTCCCTTACAAAAGCTGCTAAGCTGCGCTCATTGTTACCCCCTAAACTAAATACGGGTGTACTGCCAGGGATATCCTGTTTCAGAGGAGGAAGGCAGAGCCCAGATGGGGCAGGGCTCACCTGAGTCAGGCAGCTGCTGATGGCAGGGCAGCCCCAAGACCCAGGTCATTAGGTTCTCCTCCCAGGCGATGCTTTCGGTACCATCGGACAATTTTCTTGCTTGTTCCTGGGCATTTCTGGCATTGACAAAACCTCTCATCTTTGCTGAATTCCAGAAATGGCTTCAGACATCCCTGGATCAGTGACATTGCCTGTTGCCCCCATGGCAGCCAGTGGCCAGGTGAGGATGGCAGGGGCCATGCCTGCCCGTGGAGGAAAGCGGCGTTCTGGGTAAGCTACCTCAGCGTTTCCAGGAATTGGGCCTAATACATGTTGAGCAACACTCTTGACCTGTTAGGAAAATGTCGTCCCTCCTCCTCCTAGAGAATAAAGCTCCGCAGTTTGCATCCTGTTTAGATTTGACGAGATCCCTAACTATGCGTGTGATTTGCCTCTAAGTGTTTTGGGCCTCGGCACCCAGCTGGGGCCTTCTGTTTGCTTGTTCTTGTGGTTGGAACATGCTCTGGGATCCTGCTGTGCCGTGCTCAGGCCATCTCTTCAAGGGGCAGGGGGGTGGCGGGGGTAGCGGGGTGGGGCGGGCTCACCCATCCCCGGCTTGAGCTTGCCAGCCAGAGGGCAGCACTGCAGAGCTGAGCTCCCTACCACCTTTCTTCGGGCTGCCAGTCTTTCTGGGTGGTGTGCAGGAATTCTTTTCCAATTATTTTCTCTAGCCCAGGAGCTAAAGGCTGGACAGCTTGCATTGTATGCTGCCCTGTGCGTAAAGTTGTTATAGTGATGAGTTCTGGTAGGACCAGAAAGACCATCGCTCTTGAGTTGATGAAACCAAAAACTGCATCTCCTTATGATGCACAGTGTCTGTAGCTGTGCATAGATCTGAAAACAAACCAACCAACAAAAATCCCTGCAGGAAAAAGTCACTGATGTTTTCAGACTCAGTATATCACCCAACCCCTTTCCCCTATTGAATCGATTTTCTTTTCAATGGAATAGTTGATAAAGTTTCTCATGAAGTGGAATCAATCTGTCCTGTTAATGCAATTTCTGATAACACAGGGCTCCCAGGAATACAAGTATCCAGTGATGGCAGGACGTACTTCTCACAGCCCAAGGCCTGCGGGGTGGGCTCAGGTGTAAGTGGTCCCGCATCTAAACCTGAGATTTTCTTCTAGACCAGTGTGATTCTTCAAGGGGTAGAGGGGGCAGATATGTTTCAGGAGCTGGAATGGAGTGTGGGTAGGATGAAAAAGCATATTCAGCATTATAATTTTAGATTGTAGAAAGACTGTTGTGTGTGCAGTGCAGTCTTTAAAGGAGGGACTAAGATTCTGATGATTATTGCAAGAGTTGAAAAGGCTGATAAACTGAGCTCAGTGGTTACGCCACCTTCCCCTGATTCAGTGTGCTCACTGCCAAGGCTCCAGTGCAGCCAGTTCTCCATCACAGCCAGTTCTCCATCACAGCTACCACCATCTTCACAGCCAGACCAGCAGAGCTATCAGGAGCAGAGGTTGGTGCCTGGGGCAAAACTCCTCAGAGCAACTTTGTAATGTAGATGTGGCTGGCCTCTGAGGCTGACTGCAAACAGAGCCCTCCTATCTTAACTGCTCTTCTTGCTAACGAGGTGCTAAGCTCAGTGTAGTCTGGGTTGCTAAAGGAATGCCCGTGCTGTCAACATATCCACTTACTGATTTTTTAAAAAGATTCCTGAACTTTTAAAATTATTTTAAGTGTCTATGCTCCCTAACGTCCATTCCCTGGGGACAGAGACCCATTGCTTGCCTCGTCCTTTCTAAAAAGAGGCCAGCACAGGACTCTGGTGGAGGCCGTGGGCTGGGTCAGGGCCACGTGCAGGCAGAGACACTGAGGCCCAACCCAGTATTTACAGGACCAGAAGCCCACTCTGTGCTGGGGAACTTCTGCCGACCCTAATGCAGGGTGTGCGGGTCTGTGCTCTGCTCAGGGCTGGGCTGTGGTAAGCTGAGCCTCCTTTCCTCTTTGGCCTCCTTGTTCCTGACCCCAGCCTGATCCAGACCCTGCTCTCCGCTTGCTCTCCAAGCTGATGACTGGACCCTGGACTCAGACTCCCTTCTGAAGTCCTCCAAGCTCTCCCTTTCCCTGTCAGATCACACACACAGCATGGCATTGGAGGCAGATGGAGACTCTGAGCGGGCTGAGAGAGCCAAGGGTTCAGTTCCACTTAGAGTCAAGGAAGCAAAACATCAAGAGAAATGAGAGATTAAGGAGGAGGAACAGTAACTGCTGATACACTACCCGACGGTGCAGGTGACAGCGTGGGCCCTTGAAGACGATCAGTGCCCTTGTCTTCCCCCAGAGGTGGGTCAGCCATTGTCCTCATTCTTGGAGCCCACTTGCCTGCTTCCTGTCGGAGGTGGGGAGCAAGCACACCACGGTTCCTTCTGCTGAACTCCAATGACCTCGGGATTTATCCTCTGTGTCTAAGAAAGGAAACCTCCATTTTTACAGGGCCATCTCCATAGTAATTCTTGCATCTGGTATTTTTACATATTTTGCTGAAATTCTGTGATTGAGGCCACTGCTGCTCTAGAACCTCTTGATAACACTCCTCTGACCACAGCCTAAACGCTTAGCTAAGTACAAAGGAGACCCTGATGGCAGTCACACTCGTGAGAAGACAGGTAGCCCACAGCAGGGTCCCCTCCTGGACCAGGGTGCGTCGCCCTTGCTCTCCCCGTCACCGGCATGGTGTTCTTCTGCCTCCTTCTCTCCACGAGTGTGGGGCCCAGTCAGAGAGACACAGGAGGGAGGGAGGAGGAGAGCGAAGGGATGGGGGTGGCGGGAGGGGGAAACAGCAAGAGGCAGGACCTTCCTCCCACTCCCTATTCCTTGCCCAGGTCTTCCCACTCTGACCTGGTTATTCTGGTGGAGGAGGTGTCCCAAACGCCCAGGATAACCACCCATCCCGCCCTAGTGTTTCAAAGCCAAGTAGACCTGACCCCTCGCCGGTTTCAGATCCTCCTGGCCGCATGCCTGGCCAGCACTGTTGATCTTTCGGGCTGAGTGTTCTTGCCACTTCCCTCACTACCTTCCCCGGGAAGCTGCGTGCTCTGCTAGCAGTTGGGACAGAAGGTGAAGGTTCAGGAGTTTCAGATTCCTTGAAAAGTGATTCCACATGTGTCCCTGAACCGCATTTTCATGGAGACCACCCTGACGGGGTGGGAAGCGGTGGGGGCTTCCACAGGGCACATTCAGTGGTTCTAAAGTTGGGGGGAGCAGCACGATTAGACAGGCTCTGTGCCCACCCCCAAGCCAGCCCTTCTTGAAGGCAGAGGGTAGAGGTTGAGGGCAGAGATGTACCAGTCCTCCCTGCCTTGGAGTCAAATGCTGGGCTTCTAAAATATCAAGAAAACGATTTCCAAATTTTATGCAGCCAACAGGCCAGCGCCTGCCTCCACGTAGCCTCAAGACTGCTAGAATGTGGTCAAACGAAGAGTGTGTCCATAAGCAGATGTTGCACTTGGTTAGCATTTATGCACTAGCATGGCTGTGGCCTCGGCCGACTGGCTGGTCCAGGCTCTGAGGGAAGTGCAGTTGCCAGCACCCCTGTCACTTCTTGTTAGCACCGTCTGCAGGCTGGCCCAGGGTGGCTCCTGCCACTCAAAGACCAGCCCCGTTGGCACAGCCTTTTACCTTTTCTCAGAAGAGCGTAAGTGAATTCTGTTTGATGACTCATATTCCATGATGTGGATTATTATTACTCAATCACTGTTAGGGAGATTCATATCACTCTGAACTCATGCAAGCTCAGAAATGCCTTTCATGGCTTTTTATCGAGGTAAGAACTCACATTTATTGACAGGCAAGTGAGGTAAAACAGTAAAATGCCTTTTCAGCCCACCTTGTGAAGACTCTTATATCATCCACTTCTTGTACCGAATTCTTTAAAGTGAATACAATAGGACTTGGAAATCATATTTTGATTTCTTTCCTTTATTATCCAGATGCTTCAGTATAATAGAGACATATAAAAGATGTAACAAACAAAGGATGCTTTCCTTAGAGTTTTTATAGCAGGAGAAATAAGCGTAGCTATTGCAGTCATATTTAAAGTAGAGAATTGAAGTAGTGACAGAAGACCCAAAAGGCAGGTCCTGGTGAGGCTGCTCTGACGGATCCTCATGTCCTCAGGAGGTACATTTTTTCTGTGTTGCTGGTGAGCAACTTTTGGGGTCAGGTGTGTTATCCTGAGGATTTGAAAATCGTTTCTGTCCCGATTTTTCCCCTGGGTTCACCCCCTCCCACTTCATGCCTTTCTGAATTACTGAATCTGATTGCTGCCCACGTGTGACCACACACATGCACAGGTGGGGAGGCAGTTTCGTGGTCCCTAATTTTTCACAGACAAATTCTGGTCCTCGAGTTGCCAGCGGACTTCAGAAAACTCTGCTATCAGAGCAGGGCCGTCCCATTCTTATACCCTCTGCTTGACTGGGTTGACCCAGCCCAAGGGGGGACCATTTACCGTATGGCTCACTTCCCCTCTTGTCTGCTCCACAAGGGGCTGGGTAAAGAACAGACTGTCTTTACAAAAACTAGGGCGACCGACCATCCTGGTTCCCCTGGGACTTTCCTGGTTTTAGCACTGAAGTCCTGTATCCCAGGTATCCCCTCAGTCCGGGAAAATCAGGATGATCGATCACCCTAAAGACACAAAAGATCGTGAGGATAGAGGACTGACTAATAAATTGCCTCTTACAGGAGTCCGATTATCACCCTCATATCAACTTGAGCTAAAGGACATTTTAAAGATAACTGTACATCTCACACCCACTTGAGGTTTTGCTAAATGCTTGCATAAATCCATTGTAATTTTGAAAATGTGATTTCTTTTTCTTAACACTGAAGTGGTTTTGACAGCCCGGGGTGTTAAGTAATCTTCATGCCAACAACGAAGTTGCTCTTTCCCGTGATGAACACTGGGTGGCAGTGTGGTTCTGTGGCTCTGGAGAACATCCAGAGGTATGGTGGCAGTATATTTGGTGTTATGTCCCAGATGTAATTTTTGAGGAAGATGAAGTGATAGCTTAGTGATTATGCAGACTATTGATGGCTTTTCTTCATTTAGAAAGTCATGCATTCAGCCCCCATTTTCCTGCCACATAGACAACTCTGCAGCTGCTGCCTGGTGCCTGGTTGCCCAAACTGCATTGTAAGGGTGCCTGTCTGTGTCTCCTAGCGGTGTGTCTGTGTCTTTTAACTCTACTCCCCTTTCTTCTTGCCTCCTCCCCGCCCTCCCCCTTCTCTCTGTGCGCAGGTGTTTTTGTCATCATGACTGTCATCTCCCCGTTGTCTATTCCTTCTGTTCTTTTACTCCCAGCGGGCAGTGCAGCCCTGTGTCTGCAAATCAGGGACGCAGAACTGGCAGTGGATCTCACAGGTCGTCCCACACAGACTAATGCCCAGATTAGAACTCTCGCCGCTCTGCACATAAAACAAAACAAAAGCAAACAAATGACACCACTTTAAAGAAGAAAATATTCATTCGCCCTATCTCGTCCCAGTCCCGAGACCCCGTCTTACACGAAGGCCCAGAGAATGTGATTTATCCCATTGGGGGCTCTCACGTGCTCGTGCAGGGCAGGCTCTTCCTCTGCAACCTGGCGGCCTCCTGGCTGTCTGGGTCCTGTGCCTCCCCCGAGCCCCGCCCTCTGAGCTGGGATGGGGATTGCATTCCCTGCAAGGCCAGCAGCCGTGATGTCTGTGGCTGTGCTCTCAGCTCACACTCTGTTCTTGTGCAGAGCTGCTCCGACAAGGGCTCCTCGGCCTGGCTGCCAGGCAGGCTGGTCTCCCTTCTGCGTGGAGTCAATGGGACTGTGCCTCACTTAGTCCGTCCGTCACACTAAGAACAAGACGGGGAATGCAGGGGCTCTGAGACGTTCTTCCCCATGGATCCCCGCTCCCCCGAATGTCCAGGAGAGCCAAGACATCTGTACTATTTCTTATTTTGTTCCCGAAGATTCTGGGTACACATTGTGCTAATTAAGTACCCCCACTGCCCTGATGTCTTCAGAGGTGATGTTAATTGACATTAGAGAAGATTGGTTTTTTGAGAAGGAGAGTTTGGGGTGCTAGTTAAGCAAATATCTACCAAGACTTTTTGTGTCATGTTTACACTAAGAGGCCCAGTAAAGTGGGAATCTGAGTGTTTACTTGGTGAGTTTCGACAAGCAGACAGACACTTGGAGTAGCTTAGGCCCCAAACAACTATTTCTCCCTCCACATCCATTTATTTGGACCTGGACTTTATAGGATGATGGCCTTAAATGCCCTTTTCTCTTTGACTCGTTGAGACCATCCAGGTTCTCACATAGCAACCAGTAATTTGTCTTCTTTTCCTCATAATCACTTCATCACCCTTAAAACTTGCTGTTTTCAAAACCCCGTGAGCTTGCTTTTTTTTTTTTTTTGGTGAGGAAGATTAGCCCTGAACTAACATCTGTGCCAATCTTCCTCTTTTTGCTGAGGAATATTGGCAAGATTGGCTCTGAGCTAACGTCTGGGCCAATCTTCCTCTATTTTGTATGTGGGACGCCTGCCACAGCATGGTTTGATAAGTGGTGCGTAGGTCTGTGCCCCAGATCCAAACCTGCAAACCCCAGGCCACCGAAGCAGAGTGCACAAACTTAACCACTGTGCCACTGGTCCAGCCCTGATCCCATGAGCTTTTTTAGTCTAAGATACCACAAAATAAAGTGAAAAAGGAAGTCTCACTGTGGAATAAATGATGTAGGGGGGAGCAGGTATCCCCAAAGATGGTGGAGACGTGGACACAGCCCAGGCAATCCATCTGCAGCCTGTGCAGGGCTCTAGGGGGATGAGCCAATGCTTCTGCACTTTTGCACAAGTTCCCAACCATATAATTAATAGTGCTGGTACTGAAGACCTTTCATTTTGCCTTTTCTTATCTCAAACCTGTTTGATGAGTGTAGAGAAATTGTTTTTTGCACTCCCAAGGGTTGGGACTATTGGACAGCAATCTGACTGAGTAAAGCCACCTCTGTACCAGCAGCTCATGCTCCCAGTTAAATGTTCTACCTATACTGAGTGCTCACTTGTGGTCTTGACTTTTCAGAATGGACTTTGAGGATGAAGATGGTGAAGGTCCCAGCAAATTTTCAAGGTGAGTTTACTTTATGTTCCTTAGATTTAAAGAAGCCAATAGCCAACCATCACCTTATTGGAATGTATAGAAATTTAAATGTCTTTTGTCATTGAAAAAGCCATTGCCTGTAGTCTCACCCCCTTACTTGTCCCTCATTCTGTGCCAGCATTTGGCCCAGTGACAGGTGGCTATGAGCAACCCTGCCATATCCCAGCCTAGATTATCAGAAGTTATTAACTCTGTTGGCTTTTTCATTAAACAATGATTGCCAATTTCAATGGACCTCTTTTTGAAAGACAGACCTAGAGTTCAGGTTTAGAAAAAATAATCAAGATAAAGCTTCTTTTTCTACCATGGAAAATAAGGAAAAATATAAGAAACCCAAGTGGCCCTGTTCTGGATGCAGAATATAAAACTGGACTTGGAGTTCCTGAGAGCTGTATCACTCACTGGCCACATGACAGCATCTTTAACTGGGCTCTGTGGGGCTGTCTTGAGTACAGACCACCTCACAGAAAGGATATAGGATTGTGGGTGCCGGTGGTGTTATATATATTACATACATGAAGGATAAGGCAGGCCCAACCCCATGGCTTTTTTTTTTTTTTTTGGTTTGGTTTGGTTTAAGTTATAGTAGGAAGTTCCGCAATGTTAAGAGAAAGGCACGAATCATTCCATCAGTCTTAGCAAAATTCCCATCCTTACTCAATTTACTTGTGGGGGGGCCTGCCTTGACATTCCTCCCCATCACCCAAGCATTCCTAACTCTCGGTTGTTGATGAACTTGAAAACCTGCCACAGAGGACGGGTACCTTTCTCCAGTATCCACAGTCCACAGTTTAGATTGACAGCCTCGGTTATTTTTAAAAAGTTTTTAGAAAAACGATGTCTGTATTGAGCCTGGGCACTGACCTCTCCCAGTTTGCACTGGGAGTTATTACCCCACAGCAGTTATTTTTGGTCCTGGTTCCTTTTACCCATGTTGTGGTTGTGAATTGAGCACCCTTTCCCCCAAATCTAAGAGGAACATGCGTCTCATTCCTGGTCCAGGGCTTTCCAGAGTCTCCAAGTCCATGGTAAGTGTGTCGTCACTCGGTACACTTTCCTCCTGAGAACTTGTCCTTCCACCTCCCTCTTCAGCTTTGAGTGAGGTGGTGGAGACCAGATGGAGAATGCTTTAATTTCTAATGACCCTGGAATTTCTAATCAAAGCAAGACATGAGTTTCAACAACAAAAGCGTGTATTGTTTTTCCCTTGGTGCAGACAAAACCCCAGCGTGTACGTCCACCCATTTCTTAGGATAAGTGTCGATAGCAGGGAGGGCCTTGTTCCTGAGATGGAGCTGGTGTCGGGAATTAGGGCACAGATTTCCCTGTCCTCGTCTGCTCTTGCCTAACACATCCTCCCTTTACAAGGAAACAATGACTTGATTTCTCTGGATCAGAATTCTCCTTGAGATAACGTTCCATACCATGTAGACCTCAGGAAATGATGATTCCCGGGGTCTCAGAACAGAAAGAGGAAGGGAGATGAGGAGTGGGCTGTGTTTGACATTGAAGATCAGCATCAGTGGTGAAATAACAGTGCAGGGATACAGAGAGCTCATTGTATTAGGTCCCATCATTAAGACATGGAAACCCTAGACTCCGGGTCTATCTCACAAGCCCATCAGTGAGTCAGCTTTTACATAGCAGAATTCAGACCCAGGCTTCTGTGAACTGTAACTTTCGCCTGCACAGTGAAAACAAGAGAGAAAGATGAGACATGCTTCCAACATAGGCTGGTACTTATAGGGGTGAGTTTGTAGGAGCCCAGGGCCACTTACTGTATGGTAGGACAGTTGATGGACCATCAGCTGGTGGGTGCATCTGAGCTGCTCAGAGCTGGGGGAAACGACTGAGTCTACCCTCGACTCCTGCACTTGGCCAGTGGCTGTGGCTGCTGCCCAGGGGAGGGGTGCGGAGTCGGCTTCACGTTGTCTCCAGCCAGCGGTGTGCGTGGCACGCCTGGAGGCTTCTTCTGTTTCCTGCTCTTCTGCTTACAGTCAGCCAAGAGAATCCCCTGGGGGAGGCCCTAGAAGAGAGGGCAGCTGAGGCGTGGGCCAGCACCCAGTGTGGTTTGTTGCCTCAGAACCTGGCCAGGGTACTGCGCCGTGATTTCTGTCTCCCGATGTTTGTTCAACCAGCTTTCCTTGAGGGTGGTCCCAAATTCAAGTGTCCTATCTATTGTCACACATCATGTCTCAGCTTTCCATTTGGGAAACATGGTCACTGTCACATGGGAGGTAAATCAGCCGATTTGGTTTGGTTCCTATCTTATCATGGCAGGCTTCAGAGAGAACAAAGTAGCAAACATGAAGCTGCCCACTCCTGCCTGATCGCACGCATGCGCACGCACGTGTGTGTGTACTCGCACGTGTGTATGTACTCACACGTGTGCACACGCATGCACACATAGAAACACGTGCTGCTCTCGGGGCTGCAACATGCAGGACATGGCTCTGCTGACACTAGATGTTTCCCTCCTCCCACACAAAGTCAACAGCAACCTGGACGGCAGAAGGCAGACTGCAGTGGGCTGAGGATTGACTGGGAGATGAGGAAGTGGGGACAACTCTGTGAGCAGGTTGGATGTGGATAAAAAGGGAATAGGCATTTGGGTCTCAGGGAGGGAGTCCATTTGAAGGATGGGAAGACCATGAGCACATCCATGTGAGGAGGGGAAAGAGTGAGTCTAGCCAGAGATTTGGAAAGTTCTGGAGTGGTGGGGAAAGGTGGGTCCAGGGGAGTGGGGAAGGGGAGAGACAAATCCAAGCCCACCAGGAGGGCTACCCATTCTCGGAGGAGCTGCAGAGGTAGCTAAGTGTGAAGCTGCTGGATGGGAAGTTGAGGGGTCCATTCTCCTGGTTTCTTTTGGTTAAGTAGGAAGTGGGGCTGTGTGCTGTAGGGGCACACGGTTAGTAGTATGCCTCAGGGAGAAGTTTCGGATGTCCCTGGCTTGAACACAAAGAGGCTAACAGAAGGAAGGGAGGTGGAAACTTTAAACCCCATTTGAAATTGTGGACCACAAGTGCGAGGTGGCGCCCGCCTGTATTAGTGTGTAGTTTTTGTCCAGCTGGGTGGCTCCAGGAGAATGCAGACTCCACAGCTCAGGGTTGGGGGATGGGGCAGGTGCAGCAGAGGGACGGAGGGTGAGGTGGTTGATGCGGATGAGAGGTCAGCTGAAAAGGCCGAGCTACAGGTCCAGCTACAGAGGGAATAAAGTGAGGCAGGAGCCAGGAAGGAGTGAGGGCTGGTAACGTGAGAGAGAATGAAGGGACACTGTGCATTGACACAGGCAGGTGCCACCTCAGGTTTGTGGTCCCCAATTTCAAGCAGAGTCTAAAGTTTTGACATCCCTTCCTTCTGTTAGCCTCCTTTGAAACCAACCTGGGTCATCCTAACTTCTCTGTCAGCAACACCTTTAGCCTCTGGCCACCTGCAGACAAGTGAAGGAGGCCGGAGACTGCAAGTGGGAATGTGGTTGGAGAATAGTGCTAATTCTGTGGGAGTCTGAGTGAGCTGGAGAAGCAGGAAGTCGTGTTCAAATAGGGGGAGTCGTAGCCATGGGAGAGGCTGGCTGAGGTCCAGTGGAGGAGGGAGAGGCCATGGGAGAAGAGGAGGTGAGGAGATGGGGGGCAGGGTATGTGCCACCTCTTGCTGGCTGTTGGGCGAGCTGATGCAGGGTCCCCAGTGTCTGCATGGATGGCCGATAGGTAATGATGACAAGGAGCCTAGAAGGTGGTAGAGACAGATGGCACGAGTGTCGGAAGAGGAGCATTTTTGCCGAAGAGGCAGAGGAGTGAGGATGCAGAGCCGCCCTTGACTCCCAGGGTGGGCCTGGAGAAGGCAGCCTCCTCCTGACAGCACTGACCTCACCCCCGCCTCTTGGGACTTGGGTTATCAAGTCACCGATCCCACCAGCAGATGGTGGTGAGCTCTCCATCTCCAGGCAAACTGATTACACACCAGAAAGTGTTTCTCCAGAGATGCACCTCCCCGGCAGCTGGTAGTGGGGCCAAGCCCTCCTTCAGGGAGGCCAGCATGAGCCCATCTCTGGCGTCCCTGCATGGATGGCCCTGTCTTCCTGGGAGGTGAACACCTGTCCTGTCCCACACTCGAGAAGCTGGAAACCCTCCCATCACACTGAGCAATCAGCGCATCTTCCTCAACGGGCCCCTGGGCTGACCCATGAGTGAGTCCCAGGATTTCTTCCTGTGCCCACAGCTGGGGTCAGTGACGTCCTGAATGTTGTTTCATGTCTGGGACAGCTGACTTCCCAGAGCTTGTCATCAGCAGAGTCAGTGTTATACACCGTGCTCTTCATGTGACTTACATGTATGCTGTACACATGTATGTGCATGTGTGGGATATTTCATTAAAACAGGGGAGTGGAAACGTGACTAACATTAACATTTTTTAATGTTAGATTTATAACTTAGGAACAACTGAGTGTTCACTCCCAACCTTTAATTCTCGTCCCTGTGTGTTACCAGCTTGATTTTTGCCGTGTTCAGACTCATTCTGCACCCTCTCTCAAAAGACCCAAAAGGCCTTTCAAGGGGCTCTCATGTCTCTGATTGTGAACTCAGCTGCAGCGCCTGGGGCGTCCTGTGAGCTTGGAATCAAAACCCTTGTTGATGGGTTTTATTGGCTTCTCTCACCCTTCCACGAATGGCTCTCAGTGACCTTCCTGAAGTTCCATCATCTGTGTGACTCTCACCTGTTCCCTGGGAGGTTGTAGCACCAATTGCAGCTGTCCAGAGTTCTTCCTTTTGTTTTGTAGGATTCAACCAGTGAACCTCTGCATTACCTAAAAGTAAAGATGGCAGGAAAGCTTCCACAGACTTGGCCTTTTATTTTTCATCACGCCCATTTTGATACTTTCCTCTGGATGTTGTGCGATATTTACACTTAGGTGCATTTTTTCTGGCATTATAAGTTGTGATGATGTTTTAGTTTTAATCTTTCCATCTGAA